TAGCAGTTACTTGGTCACAGCTGGTAGTAGCAGTTCGTCACTGCTGGTAGTAGCAGTTACTTGGCCACAGCTGGTGGTAGCAGTTACGTGGTCACAGCTTGTAGTAGCAGTTTCTTTGTCACAGCTGGTAGTAATTTGGTCACATCTGGTGGTAGCAGTTACTTGGTCACAGCTGATGGTAGCAGTTACTTGGCCACAGCTGGTGGTAGCAGTTACTTGGTCACAGCTGGTGGTAGCAGTTACTTGGCCACAGCTGGTGGAAGCAGTAACTTGGCCACAGCTGGTAGTAGCAGTTACTGGTCACATCTGGTAGTAGCAGTTACTTGGCCACAGCTGGTGGCAGCAGGTATTGGTCACAGTTGGAAGTAGCAGGTATTGGTCACAGCTGGTAGTAAGTCACTTGACTGCAGCTGGTACAGTGGTAATAACGTCACTTGTGGTCATAATAAGTGGTTCGTCAAAAGGGTCATCAGGGCTGGTGGACCTAATTACCCACCGCAGGACATGAAAGCTTCAGGATCAATGAGGAAAGTTGGAGCAAATGAACGCTGAGTCTGGTCAACCAGTGATTCGAACACCACAGTGATTCAAACACCGCAGTGCACATTTATACCAGCAGTTATTTGAACAGAGTACTTTGAACACAGTGATTCACTGCTAAAAACAGGGGTTTTAGAGCCTATCGACTACACAAAAGTCAATAAGGCTGCACGACAATATTTTCACCACCAGACAAGAATACTTTAAGCCCTAAAGTAGGGATTAAAGTTGTTAAGCAAGACACGTGAGCAAACACTAAGACATATTAGGAAACGTTTCGGTCCTGGGACTTTGATCACTTCTAACATACAGAGTGAGAGCGGAGAGTGAGGTGTGACACAAGGTGACCTGAAGAATGCCATACTGGGATGAGGACAGTTAGACAATGGGATCACGTGACTCCTGTGTTGTTAGGTAGGTGATGCTTTGCCTGGTTCACTACAATGTATGCTAATGTTTTTGAAATTTTGTAGTTTCCAGTATTATGTTCTGTGGTGTCGGTGACGGCGATTAGTGAGGCTTCCAGACATCGTCGGCGTTTAAGATCTTGCTCGGTGAGGACGAGTTGTGCCTCATCTCAATTCATCAAATGTCCCGTGGAGTCCCTGTGGAGGACACAGGCGTACCTTAGGTCGTCTCTGTTGCTGGCGTTTCAATGTTCGTTCAGACGGACCGAAAGATTTTTGCCTGGTTTCCGCTACATGTTTCTTGGGACAGTGTCTACAAGAGATGGTGTAGACGCGCACTGTGTAAGTTACAGGTGTGGGGCTACGTTTTATAGTGAGATCTTTGATACATGTGTTTATGGTGGAAATATGTATGTTGCTGTTAGAAAGTACCTGGCGAGTATTCGTGGCAGCATCACCATATTGGAGTACAATGAACTGCTTGGAGGACTGTTCCATGGAGGATTTGAGGATAGCTTGTGCCTTGAGTCTGCAATCCCGGATGAAGAAGGGTGGAAATTGAAGACGTGTGAAGACTTGTGTTATGTAGGTACACTCTTCAAGGAAACAGGTGTTGGAGATGCTAAGAGATCTCAAGAAACCATTAAGAACACCTCTCACAGTGCGGGTGTCTTGGTGCAAATAGAAGTGTACAAGATCGTCCTTGTTGGTAGGTTTTCTACACACTTTGAAGAGAAGTTTGTCACTGTCGGGAGACCTGCACAGGAGGAAGTCAAGGAAAGGAAGTTTGCCATCTTTTTCGAGTTCCAGTGTAAACTTTATTGATGGTTCGAAAGCATTGATCTTGTTTATCTTAGAGTCCGACGATGCCTGGAAGCCTCGCTAATCGCCGTCACCGGAACCTTGGAACATAATATTGGAAACCACAAAATTTCAAAAACATTGGCATACATGATACTCAGCCAGGCAAAGCATCACCTACCTAACAGCACAGGAGTCTCGTGATCCCATTGTCTACCTGTCATCCCAGTATGGCATTCTTCAGGTCACCATGCGTCACTTACACCTCACTCAGGTCACCATGCCTCACTCACACCTCACTCAAGTCACCATGCCTCACTCACACCTCACTCAGGTCACCATGCCTCACTCACACCTCACTCAGGTCACCATGCCTCACTCACACCTCACTCTCCGCCTATATGTACTGTCTTTTTAACTTCTGTATGTTAGAAGTGATCAAGGTCCCAGGACCGAAACGTTTTCTAATATGTCTTAGTGTTTGCTTACGTGTTTTTCTAAACCAATTTATCGGTATCTATTACCAAGGTTTTAACCAGGGATTAAAGTAAACTCTCAGCATATATTCGCTGAGAGAAATACACCTCTCAAGGTATATATTTATGCTGTGAACAGAGTGCTTCGAATACCACAATTCACAGTTATACAGAGTTTCGAACACCACAAATCACAGCCATACAGTACTTCGAACACCACAATTCACAGCTATACAGTGCTTCGAACAGCACAGATCACAACTATACAGTGCTTCGAACACTGCAGTCCACAGCTATACAATGATTTGAACAGTGTTTCGAATACCTCAGTTCACAGCTATACAGTGACGTGAACATTATTATTATTATTATTATAATCAAAAAGAAGCGCTAAGCCACAAGGACTATACAGAGTGACGTGAACAGAGTGCTTCATTAACACGTTATTTAAGACAAATGGCATATACACAAGGAAGATTTCGTCCTTAATGCCTTAGTGTTTAATCCTAGCTTTTAAACAAAGTAGCGCATATCTAGCTAATGGGAAGAGGTTACGTGTCAGCCAATAGAACCTTGTTTAGTGTCGATAGGCTTTAAAAGCCTATTAATAACCGATCTAGCCATCGATTAGACAGTCAGGTAGGGTTGCCACTTAGCCTTTTAACTCCCAAGCTGTTGCCAGAATACGACTTGGAAGACGACCATGTATTTTCTGTATAGCTGTCTCCATCTGATTCTTTCAGACACTAGGATGCTGATGGTCACTTCTTACAGCCTTTTTGTGCAGTGGCTTTGAATGTATAGTACTTCAGGAATATTCTGAACCAGGTTGGTATTGTCTGTTATCCAGCTGTCTCTCCAAGCGTGTACTTTCTTTCTTTACAAGATCACTTTCATTACTGATGAAGTCACGTGTTTTCTTAACGAGATCACGTACTTTATGAGATCGCATGCTTTCTTAATGAGATAACGTACTTTCTTAATGAGATCACGTACTTCTTCAATGAGATCACGTACTTTCTTAATGAGATCACGTACTTCTTTAATGAGATCTCGTACTTTCTTAATGAGATAACATACTTTAATGAGATCACGTACTTAATGAAATCACGTACTTAATGATATCACGTACTTTCTTAATGAGATCACGTACTTAATGAGGTCACATGCTTTCTGAAAGAAATTATGTATTATCTTAATGAAAACGCGTACTTTTTTTACTTCTTTCACTAAATGACAAAAATTGTAGAATTTAATATTAATTCTAGGCTGGACTTTAGTCCCTGTTTTAGGGATTAAAGTATTCTTGAACAGGTGACATGTAGCCCTAATGACCATTCTAGCAGTTGAGAGATTTAATCCTTGTTAACCAACCATCCTAACCTTTCACCCACATCATTACTGAGACAACGAGGAAAAAAATCAGATACCCCATGATATACCTGTGATTGGTTGAAGCCAATCACAGGTACATCATGGGGTTGAGCTGTTGAAGAGAGGCCTGAGACTAGCAACAACTGTGTTATGCGTGATGCAACTAGCTGTGTTGTTATTATTAAATATTAGACGGTATTCTCCCGGCCCGGGCCTTTTCCAAGTGGTGGCCCGGCCTTGGTTCCCTCTTTAGGGAGTGTCTGAGACCTAAGTCTCCCATGGGAGGAGGCACAAGTACCTCCTCATCTTTGGGACCAACTGTCCCCAGGCCTAGCCACAAGCTAGGCCTTTCTGGTCTGCCATCCCCGCCCCAAGGGGGCAAATGAGAATGACAGTCTTATGAGCTAAAGGCTCGGGCTCAGGCACCTACCCTACCCTAGAAGGGTTAGGCATGGTATCGATCAACTAGCTGTGAGGTGTGCACTTCTATCTTATAACAACTGCCACAATATTTCATAACAGGGACTGAAAAATTAGTTTCCCATTATGGTCCGTGATTATATTATTAAGTGAGCTTAATATTTATGGTGAATTTACCATCCTTTGTGGGTGTACGCTCACCCAGCACACACAATATACGCCCCTGTCAACCAGGCTGTTGTTGCCAGCAGCCAGGCAGGTTCATACAGTTATGGCGACTCAGGTAGTGGTCCAGTTTTTCTCTTGAAAACTTGTACTCTTGTTCTGGCAGTATTTCCCAGAAACTAATTAATATTTTTATTGGCTTGAGAAGGACAGATTTTCCTATATTAATTCCGGGAAAATTAATGAAAATATACTTCAGAATCTCTCATTACATAAGTGGGTTTAAACGTTTTGGTAAATAAAACGTATTTTTCAGGCGTTTTAGGAATTATTTCTTAATTTAGTCATTTTCAAAGAAATTTGTATTTAAATACAAGTTGCTTTGGGAATTTTTAAATATTTTTTTTTATTTATTAATGGAAGGTTAAAAAATCTTGAGGAGTTTTAAGGTTATTTAATTTTTTATGCGATTTATATAATTATTAAAAAAATTTCTTGTGTAATCCATAAAAGAACAATTTATATGCTAATGATTACTGTATTATTTATGAGAGAGAGAGAGAGACATACAGACAGACAGTCAAACAGACAGAGAGGGAGAGGAGAGAGAGAGAGAGGCTGCGTGGAGAGAAAGAATGACAAAACAGGAGGGAGCCTTCTCTATATTTCACAAAATTCTGTGTTTAAAAATCCACAGCTACATGAGCCTGGCTGTGGCTCCCACAAGTACTCTAAATCTGTTCCACTCTTTTCTGTGCTCCACAGAACGTGTGTAGGTCATTTCAAGCCAGAAATAGTCATTTTGATTGAGCCAGAATACTCTAGTCTGGAGTGAGCTATGTTATATTTAGACTGATGAATTAACTAGTGTATTTGACTGTGTTTCAGGGGAAACCAAAGTTGTTGGCGATTAATAAAAAATAACAGGAAAAAACTAACTGGACAAGTGTTTGACAGAAATGCTGAAGCACTTTAATTATCGGATAATTTTCCAACTGCATTGCAGTTTGCTTCAATGAAATATGTAAGTGAAAGAGAATATACAGCGACTGAAAAAATGACGAAATATGAGATGTAATATACTCTGATAAACTAAGTTTATCAGAGTATAAACTTAGTTTATACTCTGAAAATTAAAAGAAGTGAATTACGAAGAAAAACTCACAGAAAGTGTTTGTATAATGTATAACTGTGACTTCATTAAGGGGACCTGCAGATAGTAAAGACATGGTGTGAAGCCACGACAGGACAGCAGGTGATAATAAGACGATCTAAGATGGTGTCGGTGATACGCGTCTCTCGGACGGTGCAAGACCGTGATGTCACTGTTGAGTGACATCAGATACAGTGCAGGAAACTATCAAGACAATGTTGTTACTGTTGAGTGAGTGACACATCAGAGACGGTGCAAGAGGCTGTCAGTACAATGTTGTCACCGAGAGGAATACTTGCTCTCGTCTGCTACTTTCTCCTGCCTCACTCCCTCACACACGCAGCGAAGAAAGGTAAGTAAGTAAAACATTACAACAGTAAATAATGTGTAAACACCGTGAAGTAAGATACAAAAGTTCTCTTAGGACCTCTATTAAGGAGCTTTTTTAGTTTATTACAGAGAAATGTAGAAGAAATATTGATAATAGGTACAAGGTCAGAGAGAAACGTAGGAGAGGGAATATTGATACTAGGTACAAGATCAGATACTGCATGTGGGGGAAGGGGGATACTTAATAGCTGTGGCAGGTTCGGAAAGGATGAACCTGGCGAAAAAATCTGAAACTATATAACTGCCAGAATATTGCTGGATGTAGTGTAGGCTGCGTTGAACTTATTGACAAACTCAACTCTGTTGAAACGTCAGCCGAGTTCAACATGATGGTTGTTTTCCTTTTCTTGACGCACTTCTGTGCAGCACTAAACCGAATTTTAAGATCAACAGGAAAGCTTACAAAGATGAGAAATGTTATCACAGAATTCTGCTTGAAAGCATTTAGTACTGGTTTCCTAGAAGAAAAATGTAACTACATACACTTGATGTCTTTTTTAACCTAGATACCCAAAACTCTTTATTAAAAGTTGTCTAGTAAAGAGAATTATTCACTCTACAAGTCAGAGACACCATATACATTCAGCCAGGTTCCAGACAGCTTCCCCAACCGCTTTCCCAGAGTAATATCAGCGTAACCAACACCACGGATAGGTCTATCAAGAATCTACTTAGTAAAACACTCAAGTAAAGAAATTAGCAGTAACATCTGCACTATACTATGTTGTGGATGCCACAAAGTATACGTAGGGTAAGACCTCTAGAATTTGGAATAAAACGATCATAATAATAATAATAATAATAATAAGAATACAGTCCTAGGTGACATCAATGACATACTACTATATAGAAAGCCGCTTGTTATGCTGAACATTTCGGATTTGATCAATTTTGCTCCCAGGATGCGGCCCACACCAGTCTAGTGACACCCAGGGACCTATTTTACTGAAAGGCAAACAGGGACAGCAGGTGTCTTAAGGTAACACGTCCTAACGTTTCCATCCATACCAGGGATCAAACCATGGAGCTCAGCGTGTGTGCTCACACGATTTAAAACGCCTGCACTATACCCCGGGACTCCCACAAACATCACATAAACTTCAAAGACACGAAATTAGTTATTGAAGAAACTGGCGAGCACCACAGGCGCTGTTTAGAATTTACCGCTGCCAATACCATCACACAAACATCTTGCAGTTATATAATTTTTTACGGTGGCCCGTGGCCTGGTGGCGAAAGCTCTCGCTTCAAACGCTGAGGGGTCCGGGTTCGATTCCCGGCGAAGGGGCGTAAACATTGGGCGCGTTTCCTTACACCGGTTGTCTCTGTTCACCCATCAGTAAAATGGGTACCTGAGTAATAGTCGACTGGTGTGGGTCGCATCCTGGGACAAAACTGACCTAATTTGCGCGAAATGCTCAGCATAACAAGCGGCTTTCTGTATAGTAGTGTCATTGATGTCAGCTAGGACTGTATACCTTGTACATGTACTTGTAGAAATTAAGATTTCTTCTTCTTCTTCTTCTTCTTCTTCTTCTTCTTCTTCTTCTTCTTCTTCTTCTTATTCTTATTATTATTATTATTATTATTATTATTATTATTATAATGTTCTTGGTGTGTTCATCCTGCCCAAGCTAGACAGCCATCAAGAAGCCTAGACCTCACATGCGGTACCTGACCTGCTATCTTATATATGTGCTCCAATGGTCCCCATATGTACTCCAACTGTCACTATATGTACTCTAACTCTCACAATATATACTCCAACGGTCACTGTATGTACTCCAACTCCAACAGTATGTACTCCAACTGTCACTGTATGTACTCCAATGGTCACTGTATGTACTCCAACTGTCACTATGTACTCCAACGGTCAATGTATGTACTCCAATGGTCACTGTATGTACTCCAATTGCCACTGTATGTACTCCAACTGTCACTATGTACTCCAACTACAACCTAAACCTTAAATGTATATTGCTCATTAGATTTAGTTGTAAAGTAATAAACATTCAAGCACATACTCAGGACTGGGTACGAGATCACACACGACGGTAAGGACCACTCTGTGGGCGAAATGTCTTCTGTGAAGAGTGCCTCCTCGTGCCTCGAGAGGATGGCGGTAGCGCAGTGACTGTCTTGGAAGACGCCAGAGCAAGTTTGACTTCCTCGGATCAAACCTGGTTGCGTCTCATTCTCCGGGTGCTGCATTGCCCTTGCGGGTTCAGCGCTTCGACTTTAATATTTTGATGGAAATGTTGTTTATAGTAGTAATAGTAAATGCTGAGACGCAATACAATATTTTTACACTGTAAAGGCTGCGAAGAACTACAATGAGGCTGGAGCAGTGACAGCAGGGGTTCACACTGTATTTTCATGGCTGGAGCAGTGACAGCAGGGGTTCACACTGTATTTTCAAGGCTGGAGCAGTGACATCAGGGGTTCACACTGTATTTTCAAGGCTGGAGCAGTGACAGTAGGGGTTCACACTGTATTTTCAAGGCTGGAGCAGTGACAGCAGGGTTCACACTGTATTTTCAAGGCTGGAGCAGTGACAGTAGGGGTTCACACTGTATTTTCAAGGCTGGAGCAGTGACAGCAGGGTTCACACTGTATTTTCAAGGCTGGAGCAGTGACAGCAGGGGTTCACACTGTATTTTCATGGCTGGAGCAGTGACAGCAGGGGTTCACACTGTATTTTCAAGGCTGGAGCAGTGACAGCAGGGTTCACACTGTATTTTCAAGGCTGGAGCAATGACAGTAGGTGTTCATACTGTATTTTCAAGGCTGGAGCAGTGACAGCAGGGTTCACACTGTAATTTCATGGCTGGAGCAGTGACAGCAGGGGTTCACACTGTATTTTCAAGGCTGGAGCAGTGACAGTAGGGGTTCACACTGTATTTTCAAGGCTGGAGCAGTGACAGCAGGGTTCACACTGTATTTTCATGGCTGGAGCAGTGACAGCAGGGGTTCACACTGTATTTTCATGGCTGGAGCAGTGACAGCAGGGGTTCACACTGTAATTTCAAGGCTGGAGCAGTGACAGCAGGGTTCACACTGTATTTTCATGGCTGGAGCAGTGACAGCAGGGTTCACACTGTATTTTCAAGGCTGGAGCAGTGACAGCAGGGGTTCGCACTGTATTTTCATGGCTGGAGCAGTGACAGCAGGGTTCACACTGTATTTTCAAGGCTGGAGCAGTGACAGCAGGGGTTCACACTGTATTTTCATGGCTGGAGCAGTGACAGTAGGGGTTCACACTGTATTTTCATGGCTGGAGCAGTGACAGCAGGGGTTCGCACTGTATTTTCAAGGCTGGAGCAGTGACAGCAGGGGTTCACACTGTATTTTCAAGGCTGGAGCAGTGACAGCAGGGGTTCACACTGTATTTTCAAGGCTGGAGCAGTGACAGCAGGGGTTCACACTGTATTTTCATAGCTGGAGCAGTGACAGCAGGGGTTCACATTGTATTTTCATGGCTGGAGCAGTGACAGCAGGGGTTCACATTGTATTTTCATGGCTGAAGCAGTGACAACAGGGGTTCACACTGTATTTTCATGGCTGGAGCAGTGACAGCAGCGGTTCACACTGTATTTTCATGGCTGCAGCAGTGACAACAGGAGTTCACACTGTATTTTCATGGCTGGAGCAGTGACAGCAGGGTTCACACTATATTTTCATGGCTGGAGCGGTGACAACAGGGGTTCACACTGTATTTTCATGACTGGAGCAGTGACAGCAGGGGTTCACATTGTATTTTCATGGCTGGAGCAGTGACAGCAGGGTTCACATTGTATTTTCATGACTGAAACAGTGACAACAGGGTTCACACTGTATTTTCATGGCTGGAGCAGTGACAGCAGGGTTCACACTATATTTTCATGGCTGGAGCGGTGACAACAGGGGTTCACACTGTATTTTCATGACTGGAGCAGTGACAGCAGGGGTTCACATTGTATTTTCATGGCTGGAGCAGTGACAGCAGGGTTCACATTGTATTTTCATGGCTGAAACAGTGACAACAGGGTTCACACTGTATTTTCATGGCTGGAGCAGTGACAGCAGGGTTCACACTATATTTTCATGGCTGGAGCAGTGACAACAGGGGTTCACACTATATTTTCATGGCTGGAGCAGTGACAACAGGGGTTCACACTATATTTTCATGGCTGGAGCAGTGACAGCAGGGTTCACTATATTTTCATGGCTGGAGCAGTGACAACAGGGGTTCACACTATATTTTCATGGCTGGAGCAGTGACAACAGGGGTTCACACTATATTTTCATGGCTGGAGCAGTGACAGCAGGGTTCACTATATTTTCATGGCTGGAGCAGTGACAGCAGGGTTCACATTATATTTTCATGGAGATGTAAACTGTGGAATCATGATTTGGAGGGATTGAGATTGACTTCCATGATACTCATATGTTAGTGCTAGGAGTGGTTAGGTAAAGATTGGATTGTAGGTGACTAGGTAAAGATTGGATTGTAGGTGGTTAGGTAAAGATTAGATTGTAGGTGGTTAGGTCAAGATTGGATTGCAGGTGGTTAGGTAAAGATTGGATTGTAGGTGGTTAGGTAAAAATTGGATTGTAGGTGGCTAGGTAAAGATTAGATTGTAGGTGGTTAGGTCAAGATTGGATTGCAGGTGGTTCGGTAAAGATTGGATTGCAGGTGGTTCGGTAAAGATTGGATTGTAGGTGGTTAGGTAAAGATTGGATTGTAGGTGGTTAGGTAAAGATTGGATTGTAGGTGGTTAGGTAAAGATTGGATTGTAGGTGGTTAGGTAAAGATTGTATTGTAGGTGGTTAGGTAAAGATTGGATTGTATGTGAACTACCTAAATTCCCAGAGGAAACTTATGTGTTCACTGGTTCTAATTCTTGTTACCTAGTGGGTGATTGTGGTAATGATGTGAACCTCAGAACTTTCACAGGCAGTTTCAAATCTTAGTTTGACGGTACTGTGAACAGCACCAGTTCACGGTGCCCAGTTCACGGTATTTTGAGATGCTACAGACAGTAGCTCCAGTTCACACTTAATACACTTCCCATTACCAGTTGAAATTACAAAACTTCGTGAAGGTAACACTCTTAAGATCAAGAATTTTCTCCCTAATCCAACCAGGCCCTCCAGCATTTTTCGATTTACAAAAAATATAAAATTAACACGTATGTATTTTAGAATGTGTTTGCATGTTGCAGGAGTGTGGCGGCGTGTGGAGGCGGTGTCTGGACGCGAGGCCGTCCTGCCCTGCGAAGTAGGTGTCCTCGACTCTTCAGATATGGTCTTCGTGGTCCTGTGGTACACCAACGGAGAGAAGGAACCCATATATAGGTGAGTCCGGGGGCTTCATGTTGGTATTTCTTACGGTTTTTCCTTGGTATTGGTATCTGATAGTGATGAATCATTCACTCCTCTTTGTTGATTCCCCACCAAAAAAATCCTTATTGAATCCCCGCCAAAACCTCCTTGTTGAATCCCCGCCAAAACCTCTTTGTTGATTCCCCACCAAAACTTCCTTGTTGATTCTCCGCCAAAATCAGTTAGGTATCTTTATTCCGAGGCGTTTCGCCTACACAGTAAGCTTCGTCAGTCAAATACAGAGGAGGCAGCAGAAGCAGTAAAGATGATGCAATTACTCCATCACCCTGGAAGACGAAAGGTTTTGAAATAAAGATACGTAACTGTTGCAGATGTATTTTATCAACTTGACGCGACGGTCTGGAGTTTTGAAACTCTCTGATCACGGGTTCTAATCCCACTCGTGGTATGGTTTAACTTGTCGCAATTGTATACCATTATCATATTCAGCATAGTAAGGGATTGAATTGCCTAAACGATCTGCCACAGGAATATTTTTGTACCAAGATAACACAGTGTTGTATCAGACAAGTATCTGGCGGAAGGAGTCATGTCTGCAGGCGAAACGTTTCGACAGTGAAGATACCCAGGTCACTGTGTCGATTTTTTTTTTGGTTCGTCATCCGAAAGAAAATTTCTGGAAAAAAATGCGTTTAGATAAGGGTGTAAAATCAATAGTTTGGATATTACCCGTCCTCACCGTACAGGGCAATTCCAACCATGAAGGAATAGCCCAACCCAGAGGTTTAGCCAGCCCCAAAAACCCTGCCTACCCCTAAAGGTCAAGCTAAATCCAACCAATCCGCAAAGGTAAAGCTAAACCTAATGTCCGGCCTATATCATAGGTATATCTTAACCTAGAGGTCAAGGGTGAGCTTGACCTCTAGGTTAAGATATACCTATGGCATTAACTTACCCGATAAGGCTAAGCTGTATCCAAAGAGTTACTTGGATTCAAAGGTGAATCCCATTCCAAACAGTTGTTCCACTCCGAAGGCTCAACCCAACCCAAGGCCTAGCCTACAAAAAAAGTAAAAATATCTCGAAGGCCCAGGGAACGTCAAAGGCCCAACCCATCACAAAAGTTCATCCAATCCCAAAGGCCCATCCCAACCCAAAGGCCCTACCCATCCCCAAAAGCTCACCCTATCCCAAATGCCCATCCCATCCCAAAGGTCCAACCTGTCTCAGAAGGCCTACCCCAAGCCCCCCCCCCCCTCCCCAAAAAGAAAAATACGGCAAACACAAATAATCCGCACAAAATAGAAAAATATGACGACATTTCGGTCCGAATTGTCCCAAGTCGGACCGAAACGTCTTCATAATTTTTCTCCTTTGTGCGGATTATTTATGTATTGTTCCAGTCTCGATATTGTGACTTTGTATTCTTCATAATACTGCATATTTTACGAAGCCCTTTAGCGAAAATAAAACAAACCAAGATCATAGAAAATGGCTAACTCTGGAAGAGAAAATTCAAGGAGTGTGAAAAGTCACTGGGGGAACTTCTGACTTCATAAGGATCCATGAGTTGGGCATTTTGCAAGATGACATAAAAATGGTAAATTCTTTTTAAGAAATTCAAGAAAAAACTAAAGGGTACTTGAAGGTAAAAATAACCATAGGGATAACTTCAGCGCTTGATGCAGAGTCTTGAACACTAGGAACCTTGAACACCAGGAACCTTGAACACTAGGAACCTTGAACACCAGAAACATTAAACACCAGGAACCTTGAACACCGGGAACCTTGAACACCAGGAACTGAACACCAGAAACTTTAAAACACCAGGAACCTTGAACACCAGGAACCTTGAACACCAGGAACCTTGAACACCAGGAACCTTGAACACCAGGAACCTTGAACACCAGAAACATTAAACACCAGGAACCTTGAACACCAGGAACCTTGAACACCAGGAACATTGAACACCAGGAACATTAAACACCAGGAACCTTGAACACCAGGAACCTTGAACACCAGGAACCTTGAACACCAGAAACATTAAACACCAGGAACCTTGAACACCAGGAACCTTGAACACCAGAAACATTAAACACCAGGAACCTTGAACACCAGGAACCTTGAACACCAGGAACCTTGAACACCAGAAACATTAAACACCAGGAACCTTGAACACCAGGAACCTTGAACACCAGGAACATTGAACACCAGGAACCTTGAACACCAGTAACCTTGAACACCAGAAACATTAAACACCAGGAACCTTTAACACCAGGAACCTTGAACACCAGAAACATTAAACACCAGGAACATCAAACTTCAGGAACATCAAACTTCAGGAACATCAAGCACTAGTAACATTATGCTCCAGGAACCTTGAGCACCAGGAGCATCAAAATCCAGGAACCTTGAACACCAGGAACATCATACACTAGGAATATTAAACACCAGGAACCTTGAGCACCAGGAACATCAAACTCCAGGAACCTTGAGCACCAGGAACATCAAACACCAGGAACATCAAACACCAGGAACCTCGAACACCAGGAACCTTGAACACCAGGAACATCAAACACCAGGAACATCAAACACCAGGAACCTTGAACACCAGGAACATCAAACACTAGGAACATCAAACACTAGGAACATCAAACTCCGGGAACTTTGAACACCAGGAACCTTGAACACCAGGAAAATCAGGCTCCAGAAACCTGGAACATCAAACACCAGGAATATCAGGCTCCAGAAACTTGGAACATCAAACACCAGGAACATCAAACACCAGGAACCTTGAACACCAGGAACATCAAATTCCAGGAACCTTGAACACCAGGAATCTCGAACACCAGGAACCTTGAACACTAGGAACGTCAAACAACAGGAACATCAAACACCAGGAACCTTGAACAACAGGAGGTCATTGAACACAAGAACCTTGATTACCAGGAACATCAAACACCAGGAACCTCGAACACAAGGAACCTTGAACACCAGAAACATCAAACACCAGGAACATCAAACACCAGGAACATCATAATCTAGGAACACCAAACACCAGGAACATCAAACCCCAGGAACCTTGAACACCAGGAACATCAAGCTCGAGAAAACAGGAACACCAGGAACATCAAACATCAGGAACATCATACTCTGGGAACTTTGAACACCAGGAACCTTGAACACCAGGAACATCAAGCTCCAGAAAACAGGAACACAGGAACATCAAACAACAGGAACATCAAACACCAGGAACCTTGAACAACCGGAGGTCGTTGAACACCCAGGAACCTTGATTACCAGGAACATCAAACACCAGGAACTTCGAACACCAGGAACCTCGAACACAAGGAACCTTAAACACCAGGAACTTTGAATACCAGGAACCTTGAACACCAGGAACCTTGAGCACCAGGGGGTTGTTGAACACCAGGAACCTTTGTCATGTAGGGGGAGGGTAATGATTAGGGGAATATGGGGGTAATGGGAGGGAGTCAGTAGGTAGGTGACAGGCGAGACAGTAGGAGGGATGAGTGCGGAGGTAGGTAGGAGATGACAGGAGAGGTGAGCGGTAGGTAGGTAATGTGAGGTCACTGGTGACTGCAACTTCACCTCTCATTACTCTACCCTCGCACTCCACACTACTCACCCTCTCACTACTTTAACTAAACATAAATAAATGGAGAAAATAACGGGGACAGTGAATATTACTATTCTACTCAAACACAGTTTATTATTAAGTCCTTGTACAATAATATATTTGGGAACAGGAGAACATTATTGTGGTTTGGATAAACGGGATGGTATGTATAAGCAGTGAGACAGGGAATACAATCAACTTGACCAAAATGAATGGTAACTTACAATATAGTTCAGAGGGCAGTTCATCACAGGAACTAAGCCACAGGTCCCAAGACCTACACAGCACGAGTACTGCGCCAAGCCAGTACTCTGCCCAATGCCTCCAACAGTCTCCTCCAGAGACTTCAGCAGCCTTCTCCCGAGCCCTGCACCCCAGCAGCAGCTCCGCTCGAAGTCTCTGCTCAGGAGCTCTGCACCCCAGCAGCAGCTCCGCTCGAATCCCCTGATCATGCTCTTCCTTGGGCTTTTATGGTGGTCCAAGCACCCTCCACAACCACGTGTACGACCTGACGCCGTCAAGAACAAAAGACCTCAGACGTGGGCGTGGCTACAGACGTTTGCCAAGGCAAGGTGTGACCATATAATTGGTTAAATTAGGTCTCCCCAGAGACCTCACAAGCCCAGCTGAACTACATCACACCTTGAACACCAGGAACCTTGAGCACCAGGAACCTTGAACACCAGAAACCTTGAGCACCAGGAACCTTGAACACCAGAAACCTTGAGCACCAGGAACCTCAATCACCAGGAGGTTGTTGAACATCAAGAATCTCGAACACCAGGAACCTTGAACACCAGGAACCTTGAATGCGAGGAACCTTGAACACCAGGAGGTTGTTGAACACCAGGAATCTCGAACACAAGGAACCTTGAACACCAGGAACCTTGAATGCCAGGAATCATGAACACCAGAAATCTCGAACGCAAGGCACCTTGAACACCAGGAACCTTAAACACCGGGAACATTGAACACCAGGAACCTTGAACACCAGGCACCTTGAACACCAGGAACCTTGAGCACCAGGAACCTTGAGCACCAGGAACCTTGAACACCAGGAACCTTGAACACCAGGAACCGTTGATACCAGGAACTTCGAACACCAGGAACCTCGAACACCAGGAACCTCGAACTCTAGGAACCTCGAACACCAGAAAGTTCTTGAACGCCAAGAGGTTCTTGAGCACCAGGAACTCCTTCAACTCCAGGAGGTTCTTGAGCACCAGGAGGTTCTTCAACACCAGGAAGTTCTTCAACACCAGGAAGTTCTTCAACACCAGGAGGTTCTCAACACCCGGAAGTTCTTCAACACCAGGAAGTTCTTCAACACCAGGAAGTTCTTCAACACCAGGAAGTTCTTCAACACCAGGAG